AATCACTCTCAGGAAGACAAGCATTTGAGGTCCACAGAGCGCAAAGAAGGAGAGGATGAAACAGATGACCAGGATGATAAAGCCACAGAAGAGCATGGCAGCCGCCGCTCTTCCCCACGCGTAGTCCATGAGGCTCTGGCAGCCATCGTCGTAGGACCCGCTGCCGCCGCCCTCACTGAAGCATCTCCACCACAGCGAGGACGTCTGGATGTGGTCGCTCGACTGCAGCCAGCCGCGGCCGGCCAGCGCGATGATGTCGAAGGCGATGGCGCTGAGCAGGAGCAGGGGCAGGATCCACCTGCAGCGCTCGCAGGCCAGGCCGCAGCGCAGCATGTCGACAATCGCGGCACCGAGCAGAGGAGCGCGCGGAGCAGGGGCGGCGGGGAGAGTGACCCGCAAGCGCTGGCTCCACGACAAAAGGGAAGAGGCCGCGGGGAGGCGGCTCCCGGGAGGACACCGCTCGGGGCTGGCCGCGGGGGCGCGGCGCGCGGGCCCCTAGGAGTATATATTTTCTAAAAATGTTCTGATAATCCTCTGGATTTCAGAATGGTCTGTGGTAATATCTTCTTTTCATCTCTGATCATAGTGATTTGTATCTTCTCACTGTTTCTTTTCTTTGCATATCTTTTGTTCTTTAGTTTGGCTAAACAAAATCTTTTCAAAGAACCAACTTTTTATTGCATTGATTCTGTGAACATTACAATATAAATGTTCTTTATACTTTTAGTTTGTATCTCCATGTTCTCTTCTATCCCAATAATTCTTAGGTTTGGTCATTTAATGTTCTCGCAGAGTTCTTGTATATTCTGATCATATGCTATAATTTTTTCCCTTTAGTGCCTTCTGTGTACTCAAGATCATATAGCCTGTTCCAGACCTGAAGTTCTGTCTTCTAGGGCCAAGGTTCTTTTATCAATGCATTCTTATTTGTTACTGATGCCTTCAAGTGAATTTTTAATTTAATTGGTTGTGTCTTTCTTTCTTTTCTAGGAATTATTGATTTCTTCTATTTCTTTTCTTTTTTCTTTTTTTGTACCGGGAATTGAACCTAGGTGTGCTCAACCACTGAGCCACATCTTCAACCTTTTTTTATATTTTATGTTGAGACAGGGTCTTGCTGAATTGCTTAGGGCCTCACTTAGTCGTTGAAGCTGGCTTTGAACTTGTCATCCTCTTGCCTCAGCCTCCTGAGCCGCTGGTCTCTTCACTATTTCTATTTTTTTATTAAAATGGTCTTTTAATCTCCTGTAATTGCTCTCTTAATTCCTTCTTTATATTTTCTTATAATTAATTGAACATTTTAATAATCWGTTTTTTATACTCTTTTTCTGGGCTTTCACCCACCTCACTATCCATGGGATCCTTTATTAGCTGATTGTGGATTTTGGGAGACGGGGTGTTGTTTGCCTTGAGATCTTGGACTTGAACATCAAGTGAGATGTATTTCCTACTCCCTCCTTTTATGCGTGTCCTTTTGTGTGTAATTATCTTATTTGTTCTGGGACTTCTCTGTTTTTGATGTATGAGTACATGCCAAGGGGTGGGACCTGAGTTCCCTCTTTGATTGTACTTTTTGTGTCCTTGTTGTTGGTTTGGGGCTTTTGTCTCCCCACTTCTTTGCATTGGAGTAATGTCAGAGAATGTTTTGTTCAGCTGTAGACTCTAGACTGTGAACATTTATTGTCCCTGTAGTTTCAAAGGACCTCACAGAAGGAGGAGAAATAAACAATACACAGCATTAAAGTAAATACCCAGTTCCTAATATCTCCAACATTAATTCAGACCAGTATTCAGGAATGGTCAGTTCAGCAGTTGTCAATAGTAAAAATAATAACCATGAACTAGATCTGGCTTTAAATTGAAGAGTAGGTGCCAACTATATTTTTCACAGCAGCAGCGACTGTATTAGCATTAATGTTGGGGACAGGATTTATATAAGCCAATTAGTTCTCAAAAATACAGTTTATTAAGGAAAAGAAAATGTGTTGGAAAGTTAGAAGACAGTTTAAAAGTTCAAAAAGTGAATGGAGAGAATGTAGAAGAGATGTAGCAGGTGATGTTTATACAGAAGGAAGGAAAAAATAGAAGCAAAGTATTGGGAGAGAGGGCAAAACATGTATTTGTTTTTTTTTTTTCTTTTTTGCATTACAATTCTCATTACACATACATACCACAATTTTTCATATCTCTGTTTGTATATGAGTAGGTTGACACCCAATTTAAGTCTTCATACATGTACTTTGGATAATGATGTCCATCACATTCCACCATCCTTGCTAGTCCCCTACCTCCTCTCTTTCCCTCCCTCCCCTCATCCCTATCTAGCATCTACTCATCCCATGTTCCCCCTCTTTACCCCATTATGAGTCAGCCTCCTTATATCAGAGAAAACATTCAGCATTTGTTTTTTGGGGATTGGCTAACTTCACTTAGCATTATCTTTTCTAACTTCATCTATTTACTTGAAAATGCCATGATTTTATTCTATTTTATTGCTGCATAAAATTCCATTGTGTATATATGCCACATTTTTTTTATCCAGTCATCCACTGAAGGACATCTAGGTTGGCTCCACAGTTTAGCTATTGTGAATTGTGCTGCTATAAACATTGATATGGCTGTGTCACTATAGTGTGTTTTTTTTAAGTCCTTTGGGTATAGTCCGAGGAGAGGGATACCTGCGTGAAATGGTGATTCCATTCCCAGATTTCCAAGGAATCTCCATACTGCTTTCCAAATTGGCTACACCAATTTGCAGTCCCACCAGCAATGTATGAGTGTGCCT